TCAGTTGCAGTCACACAGCCCACCGCGTCCTCATTTCCTCAAATATACGTATATACTTTATCGTTATGGTTCAGCATCAATGCTTTATGGACATACGTGATTTCCGTGTACCAAACGAGGACGCGAAATGACAAAAATCAGGTGTGGCACCCTTTCGGTGCCTAGCTGTCATGCCACCAGAAGGGAGCACGAGGGCTGAAATAATGTCAGGTTTCCCAAGCCTACACAGGGGAAGTCGAGAGGCAAAGAACAGTTTCAAACCTCGGACCTTCCGGTCAGTAAATTCACGCTCTAACCACTTGAACCATCTCACCCCGAAGAAACGACATACCACTAATTTAAGCACATACCATTTTGTCATACATCGAGTCCATCAAATTCACCTGATTCAAACCGACACCTTACGAACTTTGTTGACAGACTGCATAAAAATAACATAAAAAACGGCAGACTACACTCATTAAGGATGAATATGGATAAAGGTGCAGTTCCTCCTGGTCATCTGTTTGAGTTCCAAAACCACTCAGTAGTGGGATACTATATTGCTGGTGACCAGGAAGTCACAAGAGAATGATAGACTCCCTTCCGTTAGTTGCCCTTAGAATTCAATACTAAGGGCACCCGACCTGTACGCTTTTACTTTTTTCGGTTTAGCCGTGCTCACGCTTTCGAACAACAAACGAAGAGATTTCTCCGAGTATGAATAGTGCAACACCTTCGAAACCAGTTTCAAGAAACGGCTAATGATTGCTGATGACCAATGGCATGTAAACAGGCTTCGGTCAATGGTTTACTTTTATGCGTCCTTAGTTTACTTACCTTATCTTACCTTATTTTACGTGAAAAAATCGAAAGCCTCCATCATGCAACTATATTCTGCAACCCTTTCAGCAATTTCCCACTTATTTTTGCCGCACACTGTCCTCTCTTCTATTGTCTTAATTTAGTTGAATATGCTGCAAACAAATCACATTTTCTGTATCCCCACGACCATGCCACCTTAATTCGAGCAAATATGGACTCAAGTGGTCGCCGAAATATTGCATTCACCTATTAGTGTTCATGTGTTTAAGTGATACTATTTGCATAACCTTTCTTTTTCACGCAGCCTACTAAAAGACTATTTTTCAAGTGCATATGAAATCCGCATCTCTTCGTCTCACTTCCCGACAGTTTAACGGAAACTAAATTTATGTTGAAGAACTTATATGATTCTATTTATTCATTCTTCAACTTTGCCACCGTCAGTAGACGGGATTTCAAGTTTAGTTGACCTGCTTTTCAATGAATTCATTAGGCGAGGACAGCAGTATATTCAAGAAAACGGACATAGCAATGGTTGCGAATTAAGAAAACATTAAACTCTCAGTGAACTATATTCGTCAGAAATAGTCAAATGGACGAGAAATCCATGAATCAGGAGGAAGATAAATTAACCAGCACCCACGGCTATGAAATAACCGCCGAAAAGACTTCTAAAATGGAAATCATCCAAACGATACTTTGGTAATTGTTGTGATGCGTATAGCAAAGGAGGGTTGAATGCCGGGTAGGTCACTGGGTCATGGAATAAAGTAAGCGAGGATCATGTCAAACAGGCTTGGAGGACCAGATTTTTCGCAGGACATTTCAAGTTCAGAGGTCACACAAGTTTCGTTCGGACACACTTATGGGTCGGATTCCATTCACCTCTGAGATCGATAGTAGTCTAGATCGTAACACTCACGATATATTGTAGTTAAGTCTTGCCGAGTGCTTGCTACCAGATGTGATGCGCTCGCTCTTGATAGTGGTTCCTTCTGCCTACCACGTCTCACATTCCGTCTGACAAACGCCTTGTTTTGCAACCCACGTATGATACTCGGTGTGAGCATACAAACGAGTACGCGCAAAAGCTGGTGGTAAAACGTGGCAATTGTTTCCTTTAAACGTAAACCGAAGGTGTGGTTGAAATTGAAGCTCAAACAGAGATTATTAGCCTGGGATGTCGTATCAACATTGTGCCTGAGCCTTCTGCTGATTGGTTCATCAACCGAGTCACGTTTGAATTGGAGCCTCTTAACTGAACGCTGTTCAGGTTTGGGCTCAACGGACTGCATAGTCTTCAGTAAGAACCCTTCAGTATATCCATTCTGCAGGAATGTATGTCCTAGAAATTTAGTTCCCTTTGTAGTCATTGCTGTATCAGTCGGGCATCTAATTAGATTGTGCTTCTGATGCAACGGAGCAAGGCTACCGAAGTGAATACACAGAGTTTCCAACGTTTTATTTGAGTGGACTTTGCGTTCTATGGTCCCATCAGTCTATGTTTAACACTGTCACAGAAGAAACTCAACCATCTTGTCTCTTCTGATTTGATTGTTATTATTCAAGAATACTAAGCAAGACATTAGCAAATCCAACTTCCTCTACACTAAGCACAATAAGAGAGAACATTCGTGAACTACGACGGAAACAAGCCCAAAATACAGGCGCACTAGAAACGCTGACGATATCCGTTCGCTTAGGCGTCAATGCATGCTACGTCCGACTCAGTATTGTCAAACGGACGGATTCCAGGGAGAAAAAACTCATCAGCCAGTTCAATACAGCATCCAGGCGCCAAGTCTCCGACAAATCAAGAAAGGTACGTGCACAACTGTCCTTCGTTGATACCGGACATTACATTTCGGTGGCGTTAATCGCTCCGTCCAAATGTTTGCTGTCCTATTTGTGAGAATAGCCCGACTGTCCACATTTGAGAGTCGTGTTAGTACCTTCCTCTCGACTGACTGTAGAACAGCTGAAACCGACGTCAGTCAATTCATGTTGCCAGCGTGAGGGGGGAAGCCATGCGCCGCGAAGTCGATTATTAGCAAACACCATCTAAGCAGCTAAGAATTACTGGACAGGAAAACAAACGCCAAACATGTACACGATTTGAAAAATGAACATTCTCACGCGTCTTCTTGAACTTGCATATATATTCATTGACTAGCACGCACTTGAAATCGAACGCTGCGAAGTAGTTCCGTAGTAAATTTCCCCTTCCACCAGAAGCGGGGCAGAATTTTGAGAAGACCACAGACTACATGCATGCTTCGTCAGTAGTATCATTGTTAAACTAGTACCTCCGCTGCAACGCCACACCGGAACGAGTTTAAACAAAGGAACTGTTAATTACGTGACGTAATTATTTGTTTCCCTATTCCACAGGCTAGTTCATCACCCTTCCGTGACTGCTTAAGTTTCAAGACTGAACCGTTCTATTTTATACAAAGCCGACTCTACCACAACCATTTCTATAGACGATTTGTTTACATTTATCCATGGACTTGTTGAAATTTTGTTCCACTTTGAACTGAACAATTTTCCCGCTTAATTTGTCCGATAGCACGCTGCCCTTCGTGTGCCATCCTGTGTTGCTAACTGCCCAAGGTTCAATCTAGCCGTAAGCCTTTCTTTAACTCTCCTCATGATTTACTGTTAATTTCCTGCAGAACCACGGTCTACCTATCTGTACTGTCTGCCCAAGTCCAATTCAATATATTGTTCACTGCCCAATTGCGACTACTGAACAAACGCAGGTGAAGTTCTTAGAATTCGGTTTCGCCGCAATTACTACTGACCGTCCGTTGGTGAATTAGACTACACGTTACCTGTCAGATAGGACACCTAGATCGTGCGTTTAGGCTGAGTAACCTATTCCTTGCTTTGAGTTCACGGCCTTAGCACAGGATTTTACAGGAACATTTCGAGGCTCTGGGACAGTTACAGAGAAAACTACAAATTCTTACTATCCAAGCCAAATACGAGCACAGGAATTTTCTTGAACAAATTTGGCTACATTGATATAATAAATACCATCCTTTCAGACAGATCCGAATACAGCAAACTGGAATCTGATAAAGATAGTACGTCAGTGATTGGAAAAGCAGTGCCCAAAATATTAAAACGTCTTAGACAATCCAGAAACACCGGTACCAATAATTTCGAGCGCATGGCTCTCCCCGGCTCTATGGCCTTATAAAATTACATAAGTCTGACCTACCTCTCAGGCCCATCCTCGATATATCTTATTCTCCTTATCGTGCCTTGGCCTGTCAGTTTGTTAGAACCAACCAGAGGAGGAGTGTCGACAGAGCCTGGGGGACAGTTTTGAGTTCGTCGATTGGATTAAAGATTTGAGGATTCATAAATACTCCATGTTCTCCGTGGACATCGAGTGATTTTTTTTACTAACACACCATTTGCAGAGACAATAGACTGTTTGTGACTTGATTGAGCGCAACGTCAAAGATATTGGCATTCCACCCGGGATCTTAAGAAACTGCTTATCTTGTGTACGGCTCTCGTCACCATCGCACTTCGGTTCCTTGTGAAAGGACTACGCGTGGTCTGGGCTGATAGTATATTTTTGACACCAACCTTATCTCGCAGAAGATGGATCAGCGAAGGCTAAAACGGGTTGCAAAGTAGGAGGTTTCCCAGTTTGACAGCGAAATCGGGAGCCGAACTCTAGTGGATTTAAAGTGTACGCTAAGGGACATTGTCTTAAGCAAATATCAGTTGTTTCTCGACCAACTGCTGGCAATTAAACACCCATCAGACATTGGCGTAATAAGATGGCCCTTCATCTTTCTCTCTAGTTTGATTCACCAGGTTTGAGTTCAGTGTAAGATGTTAGATGACGGTTTATGTTCAAGTCTGTGGTTGCATGTCATTGCTGCCAATACAATATACCTTAGAGTTTGTGGGCAATGGATACTAGCTTGCAGTGGTTTTTTGAAGCTTATGGCCGATTACACTGGCTTGTCTAGCCCACGCATGTAAATATGCTGCCTACGGAACGGGTGGTAGCCGCGGATTTTTGTCAATGATCGAAAAGCAAGAGCAAATCATGAGATTATATTTCGATGAGAGTTAGGAAAGACTACATTTCTTGCAAGTACGTCTCGGATTATGCGAGCAAGCTATTCTGACTCGAAACAAGATGGACAGATGAGTAATACACACCGGTCAGATCTGAACTTCTTGTTGCCAGGTGCTGCGTGCGTCTGCTTCAGGCGTGCCATGCTGTGAATGCACCAACTGCTCCGAAGCTCGCCGCTTCCTGTGAACAGGGTTTTCAACGTTCCGGCGAATTTCGCTCGATTGGCGGATTCTCCCCGGTCCTAGGCCACCGGGAACAAAAGAGAGACGTCCGCCGGATGAATGTGATCTCCGTCGGCGCTCAGCTATTGTTCTCCCAGATGCAGCATTTATGTCAGCGAATGAAACGGAATGTTGTAATTCAGTGTTGGCCTGAAGCGAATTCCGAGACCTTTCCCGATCATGACTAACAAAAGCGTAGGCTGGTGGAAGGCTCCCGTATTCACAGCTATATGGCCATTGCATGTAGTAGCACGGATATAGCGCGTCATCTAATGGGAACGATAGGATATATTGAAGGGTGCATTTGTAAACAGCGTTATTCCTTCCAAAATCCCGTGAGATTATTTTATTATTAAGTATCCTCAGCCTGGCCAAAATTTAGTTAGGAATAAAATATCAAAATTTTGTTTATCCAGACCAATGTGCCTAATTTGTTATCAAACGGGAATCAGCTGGCAAAATTCGGAAGAACCAGCCGATTGCAATCTAATAATGTTTGTCAAATATAGTCGACGTTCATCTCTTATCCAAGTAAACTTAGGGTACTTCAATTAGTCGACCCAAAAACCCAAGTGTCCCTAACACCACAAAGTTGTAAGACTCACAATTAACTGTAGTAGTTGGTATGTCTTCTAAAAAGCTCCGAGCTGCCTGGAAAGAAATCACGCCAATAGATTACCTACAAAGATGCACCATGGTGCTGTTCCATGTGATTTGCTCTCTTCAAAACGGAACTGTTGGTTTACTTGTGATTAGGAAATCCTGCATTAACCGAATGGGTGCTTCGGTTGTCAAGCGGTAACCAGATATACTCCGCATAACATACTTTATACGTTATATTTTGCTGTTAAATACATCGCTGCTGTTGTCGTGTTCTGACACGTTAAACAGCGTCGAATTAGATGTCAGCATGGTATAAAGTTCCGCCTTTCTGACTTTTGTGTCTGGCTACCAACGACGGAAAGAAATCACGCCAATAGATTACCTACAAAGATGCACCATGGTGCTGTTCCATGTGATTTGCTCTCTTCAAAACGGAACTGTTGGTTTACTTGTGATTAGGAAATCCTGCATTAACCGAATGGGTGCTTCGGTTGTCAAGCGGTAACCAGATATACTCCGCATAACATACTTTATACGTTATATTTTGCTGTTAAATACATCGCTGCTGTTGTCGTGTTCTGACACGTTAAACAGCGTCGAATTAGATTGTCAGCATGTATAAAGTTCCGCCTTTCTGATTTTTGTGTCTGGCTACCAACGACGGCTGCAACAGCATGAATCTTTTTAACAAGTTAATTCAGTAAATCATTGCTTAGTGTCACAGTTTACGATCATCCCCGCGTCGCTATAATTTTAATCAAAAACTAACCGTTCATATCTTGTTACACTGCGAGTTCACTCGAGCTTATGCTGACACGTACTTAGGCCACAGAAATTCCGACGCACTTGGGCACTACCGCATTGCGACTTTCGCGGGTGTACGGGCTTCGAAGCTCTGTACAATGAAAAATATACCAACACAGTGTTATATTGACCTTGAGCAAAACAAAACAATCGGGAACCGAGCAAATCACAGCGCAGGCCGTATGTAGTATGTCCTCGCAAATGACCGCTTGTGGTGACTGTGGTGTATCATTCCACATGAATTCTTTTATGATTGTCTACTCCTGAAATAATTTTTCTCCGATTTAATGTGAAACACAGAATTCTCGCGACAGATTGGTTGGTCGGTGACCACTCCACAAAGGTCTAATTCAGGCCAACTATCCTCTAGGCCTACAAACTTAAGCATGGTTATAATGCATACTGTGCTCTGGGGGAATCTCCCTTTTTTGAAGCAGTTTCTGAAATAGAGTCCCAAAAACCTTCGAATTAAAGACACGCAAACAGATATTTAGTACCATTTAGTGATTACGGAGCTTGAAGGTGAACTGCAGTCATCGTTGAAACATTGTATTTTTGGTCATATTCTAATGTTTTCTGCATTTGAAAAAGTTATACAATATTAATTCTCTCGACTGAACCATCGTTGTTAGTAGCGGAAGTGCTTGACCATCGATTCACTAGTTTGGTCGTTGGTTGGCTCACTGAGCTGGGAACCACAATGTTCCCCAACAACGTACTGGTGATGTCACCTCGAACGGTGATGAAACGTTTGCAATCGAATTGCCAAGCTCAGCAAACAAGCGAACAACCGTCTACGCTACCTGAGCTACCAACATTTTCCTGAGTAGAGAATTCAGTAGTATATTCACACCAGTGACACCTATATCGACGGTTTTTGGAACGATAGAGCGCCAGCGACCACTCCAGAGTTCATCATACAGCGAACATATACGCGATTTGGTTAGGAAATTTGTTTTCAACCTACGTATGTAAAAACAAATTCCAGCAACAAAATACTCAAATGATTATACCAATATGCGTGTGGTTTTCACATGACCGGGATATCGTGAGGATACTGCGTATCAGTTTGCAGTAAACTAGTGGTTAACTTGTCAATTGAACTCAAGTCTTTTAAACTCGTAGTTTTCTGGGTGCATTTCAACATGGGCGTGAACGTATACCTTCGTACTAGAGCAACTGTATGGCCAGTTATGTCAAGCTTATTTCAGACAAAATCCAATATGTACTCACTTGCGATCATCAGGCTATCCTGATCTCCATCAGGAGTATGACCATACTTTGAAGTTCCAATCTTTATTGGGATAGGCAGATGTAAATCAGAATAGATGCGCTTCCAAGTCGCTGGGCTAGAAGGCCTTCTTCTCTGCATTTGTCGGACAAATCGCTTAGCCCATCTGACATTTTTAGGTTCCACCTCACTGGAATAAGGTATGTACACGCGTTCAATATCGCGCGAATCGGCATCCTTTGAACTCCGTTTCAAGTGCATTCTCCATCCGTTTGGAAGCCACAGATGTTCGTACCTTTTGAGTTTGAAGTGAATCACCCCCAATGTGTACGAAACCGTGATGCAATGCGTTCCATCCAGGTTAGAGGGTGTGACGGCAGGGACGTTGAATACGTGCTCTAAACTGACACGCAATAAATGCTTGTCTGTGAGCTGGCCGCGTTCCATTTCTCCCATATATATGTCTCGTTCTTCTTCTGCTATCACGTGATTTGTCCAGTCTTTATAGGTTGTCATCTGAATTGGAGTGAGAACGAAAACCAGATTATACAGACCAATTGTTAAAACTGTCCGCTCGGATACAGGTTCGCTTGTCAATTACAATTTGCTGCTTGCTCTTCTGTAGGAACAAACAACGTATTAGACAGATCTAAGTAACTCTGGACTGTTCGGTAAAAAAGAAACGGAAATCATCTGAATGAGGTCTTGAAGAAGAGCCCCATATGAAATGGGAAAACTGCACCAACTTCTAGCCTTAATGATTTTATCTTATCTGCAACTGTTTGTGGTGCCATTCAACGGGAATACATTCGTACCAAGAAATGCCACGAGACTATTTCGCCTTCACACATCCAAAAAGTACCGGCAATGTTTTCACTTGAGATTTTGGTTCATCAATGAGGACAACCTTTGGCGAAAAGCCCATAAATACTGTAGAGATGTTTCTTCCTTATTAGAGCTCATAGACAGTGCGCATCTCACGAAACTGAGCAAGTGCTGGCCCAGCGAATTTGCGGTCAGTGCTTGAACACAGCCGTTCAGATCCGACTGGCTGCAAAGTAGTCGCATTATCTCTCCCTCGGGAAGGACAGAGCGCCGCTTATTCAAAGCGCCGCTGTTGTCAAAGACTATAGAAAAGAGTACTCCGTCGGGTATGATCAGACTGATCGTTCTCGATTCTGGCGCCTTTGTGGCTCAGGCCAGTGTGACCTTGTGTGCACAGTTAGATACTGTGAGAACAAATGATCTCAGCAGTACGCTCGTTCATTTAAAGCGAGGTTCGCAAAATACGGTGTCGTCGTCCTTCTTGCAGAAATACGCCCACTTTCCAGCTAATCCGATATCAACGGAATAATGGCTTATTTGCCAAGCGAATCTCTCCATTTTCCATTTTTCCCAAATTGAATGTCCTGCAAAAAGGCTGACTCCCGTTTCACTTACTACCATACCTTCTACCACAGTGCACAATACCTTGGTGGAATAAACAAGTCATTTGACTAGCTCCATCTCAGAGTGAGTCTGTTCCCTGTTTAACACAAGACTCATTAGTAGATGAGCGTACTTCCCCGACTGCTCACAATCTGACGTTCAGTTAGCAAAGAGGGTTGACAGAAGTGCGTAACCCGTGCCCACCCGAGGTTCCAAGGAGCGTAGAACCTGATATTCACTGATCAAATATTTTCAGCAACATTATATCTGATGTGCTTCGTGTAGTCAAGCTTGTCGGCCTTGCTAGAGGGGAAAGTTTGCAACAGAGGTTCTGTCCTGTAAGTTAAGACTGTCTATACGGAAATACAGAGAACCTTTGCCTCACTGCTTCATCCTTACTGGGCATTATGAGTAGTTCACATCTCCCGACACCCAGAGTTTTGAATCCACGCCCTCCCAAGTAGTAATTTGAACGCCTAGCTGTTCGACCACGAGCATTTGACCATTTTAATCAGAACATGGATTTTTTTTACTTTTCACTACTTACCCAGAAACTTGTCCCTCGTTTTCCATGGCAACCGAGCATCTCCATGGTCCATTGCTGTCAACAACGTTCACAGCTAGACATCTGGCGGACTAGCCGACTCATTAACTCTGTGTTAGATTTTGAGTGAAATCGCCGTTTTCATCAGTATAATACGAATGCGCCAGCTTTCTAATTAGATGAACAATTAAGCGCGGTACTTTTGGACAGTTCGTACTACTGTTTGCACCATGTATTATGGTTATTCTTCAGTTTTGAGACAAGCGCTTTGTTTGAGCAAACGTAAAAAATCTAAGCTTTGGCAGTGTTCACCGTCTCTCACAGAGTGAACGTGTGAGTGGGGCTGCACTTCAGTGAAGCAGACATGAAGCAGACATGACCCTGTATCATAGATATGCATGTATGAAGGCCGAAAACATGACAAATTCAATCCAGAAAACCCTAAAATATCGGCATAAGGAAACGCAAGACACGGAAGGATATTTATGGAGGTGTGCTACTCTAAGACAGATTCTAAGAACCGACCCATTGAACTAGATCCAATTTACGTAACACTTTCTGCAAAGGACCCATATATCAACTCGAATACTCAAACTGAGACGAATATCAGACTGGCGTACCATGAAACGAGAACTCATTGGGGGTCGGTTCAACAGAGGCCATGTAAAATGGTAAAGGACAGAAACAACCTCAGCATTGACCAGAATAGGAAAGTGAGGGGGCCTGAGCTCAAAGGTCAAACGGTTGCCGATCAGTCTGAACAAAGTATAAAAGGGCTATCAATAGAACTACAATATGAAACAACTGATCGTGATCAAAGCTCAGCCCGGCTAGCAAACCGTACAATAACCCACATAAAACATTACTCAACGCACAAATATTGATCCATTTCCAAGCCCCACTAACGGCATACCAATGACGCCACCTCGACTGGTGCTGAAACGTGTGCAGTAAGGTTAACCTACTCAGAGGAAAAACCAGAGGCCATAGTGAGTTCTCTTCCTAAGAAACACCTAAGAGATAAGCCGAAATTGTTCGTTCGTGCCAAAAACTCTTTCCAAATTATCTTCACTTTTTGCGCCAATAATAAACCCACCACTGGATTAAGGAGTCTGTAGGTCATTCTTCCACTTCCTCTAAGTTTCCGTAACTTTACAATTGTATTGATTGCAGTTGACACTTCTTCAGGAAAATGCGATCGAGAAGAGTTGAGCTCACCATTCTTTAATGCAATGGTAAGTTTCTGGTTTGCTCGGTCCGCTTTAGTTTGCGTATTATTCTTTCGAAACTTAAAGATAACTTGGAAGCTACGTAGCTAGATTTGGGCGAACTGCAATAAAAGACACCCAGATAAACCATCACTGCTGTTAACGCCACACTGCTCATGTGCTCAACGGACACTGCTGTTTGCTGTTTTACTTTCTGTCTAATGATGGATGTACCATGTCAGTTATCTGGCCAATGCGTGTGCTATGTACTATAGGAGCATTGGCGTCCGAAAAACACCGACAGAAGGACGCAAGTTAGTTCTGGGTGGTATCTACTAGTTCGCCCACCACCATTAGGAGAGGTTTTGTCCTAATTATTTGGTGTTGAGAGGAGAGGCACAGTGACGGCCCTAGATTAAGTAACGTGAATTTCAGCTCAACCAGAGGTTGAACCTGTGGCGGACGGTCCGACTATATTAGACATCTCAAAAAAGCCGTAATTACCAGAGTGATTTATCGTAGGCGTTGTTTGCTTGAGTTTGCTTTTTTGACTTTCTGCGAAGCTAAATACATGTCTGAGACATTCAGGCTTCCAAAAAATCAGGAAAACAATAGATGGACAATGCTACATCCGTTGTTCTGTCAGCCCACTGTTCACTGTCCATGCAGATTGGAGAACACTCAGTCGAACTTACGTACAGCCAAAGATGTTGGATACTCTGGGACAGTCTGACAAATTACGAGCATGTATGAGAATACCCATAAAATAGCACTCGGAATCATGCGACATTACATGATGCTTCGTAGCATCCGAGATAGATATTTATTAGATTCTTTGATCCACCTCACCTGACGTAATACAATCATTATTCGATGCGGTTGCTTCACAACACCATTCCACCATATTGCTGATGATTCATATGGGTCTGAAAGTTGTCGTTCGTAACTCTCTCCTAAAAAATAGGAGACAAATGCTTTTGCCAGAGGGCTCCAAACATGCTTGGTCTGCTTGGAGGTAGCACAACAAAGGGGCGCACAGCTTCCATGATTGCACTGGCCTTCCGTAAGTTTTGGGAGAGGAACAAGAGCGAAAGGATCCTCCACAAATAACGTTAGACGTGCCGTAATGCGTTCACCAGGGACCATATTCCGTCGGCTGACGGTAAGCCGACAGGACACTGCATAGCCGATCTGTGATCCCATGGCAACTCTTGGATAGGACGTGACTTCTGATGTATGAGGACGAGAAATCCACGAAGTTGGGACTAGGCTCGACATATTATAGCATTGACTGAAGTGCAGAGGTGGGGTTGCACGGCTCATTTGCAATCCAGCGTACTTGTTGCCAGACAACGCACGTCTTATCCTATCTTTCAACGACTGTCCCTTGGAAAATGAATCACGGTTTCGATTGATCCGCAGTTGTCCAAAATTACCATCCACTTGCAGCAAGGATGCGTTCGGTTGCTGAGTTTCAGCAGCTTCCCACGTTGGCATTGGCTCGAAAGACTCCAGTCGAAATTGTTGGTCGCCGTCAATAACTTGGCTCCCAAATTCGTCAAACCGGTTGCTTCTTAACCTTTGCCGCATCAGTGTAGTGAACTCATCAATGGCTCCACTCTGGCTGAGCATGTCAAATCCACTGACGAACCAGCGGCTAATTGGTGGACAAGACAGTGTGCTTGGTATATCCTGGAAGGACAAACAAATCAGAAGAACACGTTTAATATCAGCGGGTATTGCTTGGTGTTAGTATGCCCTTAATTGTTTGCCAATATGTTGTATGGCTTACCCAGCAAATGTGGAACCATAAGAGTTGTTGATCCAGAGAACACAGAAATGAAGTAGCCGCATAGATTAAAAATCTGTCTTGGTTGCTCGAGGTCCGCCGGACAGCTTAAAACGACCTCATCGACGCTGTGTGTGGAATTACTAGACTCAGATAGAACACTTTTATAGAGAAAAGTAGATATCACAAACCGCAACAGATTTGCCTGGGGTTGAAATGCAGTTTGATAATTTACGTAGGCCCACAAGATTTAATGGCTCCCCCGTTCTAACAGGCCCCTCCCTTCTCATATACCAACGCTCACGCTTCCAATTCTTTTATGCTGATTCCTAGTTGACACAAAGGTTGATTTACTGATGACTGCAGAAATTCAATTGGAGTCCAAAAGTCACGGGTCCAAAGACCAGTGAAGAACTAAGGAGTCAAACAACCGCACACATTCGACAACAACAGACTCACCGGCGACGTTCGTCAAGGTAGACCTGGACATCATTATAACAAGTAAACTGGTGAATTTTGAGGAAATATTCTCCACATTTGATTCTGCTTATTCTGACCTTTCAGAAGATATACCAAATAGAATGTCTTATGTGTGTGTGGAAACGTTTCAGCTGGAAACCCACAAATCTGAACATGGGGCTACAGAAAACGAGCTACAGCAGAGCATAATTGCACTGGCGAATGACTCCGGTGAATCTGTTGCCCCAGAAGTAGGAGACCGATGGTAGGTTATCGAAGCATTTTGTCGAACCTGTTTGTGACGACAGCGAAAGCATCCCGATGCACATAGTATCCAGCACAACCAACAATGAGTTGGTCTTTTGGGCGTATAAATTTGGAGAATATTACGGGCAGCCGGTACAATATTCGGTTATTGATTCTTAATTCCTAATGAGTGTTTATTTCCTCAAGAAACGACATTGATGTGGTTACCCAAAACAAGACACAAAAAGTTTCTTTTGACTTTCCTTATTGGAAGCTCTTCAGGATTGGCGTGAAGAGTTGATGCAATACCGTCTATCAGGAGCCGACGCATTTCATCCCCGATTGTGGAATTGTCTCAGCAAATTCTACGTGCATTTCAAGCTTCAGTGAGAAAGTTTACTTGGAGTGCATCGATTCAGACGGTCGGACCAATATGTGTAACCTTCCAACTCAATCCGCGTAGAAAGGAATGTGCGATTCGTCGAACAAGAATGGGGCCAAAATGGACAACCAGCTCCAAGACCTGTTCATCTTCCATCTTATCGCACCGACGGGACACACCAAAAATACCATTCCGCTATTATGTACGTGGGTAATACCCCGAAAAGCACAAAAGAGCTCTTCTTATGAAAGATCGCGCTTAGTGCTCTCACACTGACGACAATACTCAATACTCAGACTATTGCCACCGGTATCGTTTCTAGTCCATTGAACCACTTGTTGGGGCCACATATCAGCGCTTTACACCAACTGGCGTTGGCACTTCACACATGGTGGTTCTAGGGTATGTGGTTTACGCTTCCGCTTCGTCGCGGCTTTTGGCCAGTTTCCAACAAACCGTTCATCGATAAGATGATCCTGATTCACAGAAGCGCCTGCCAAAAACACTATTCCGGTTTGTAGTATTCTCCGCCATGCGTTCCCATATAACCGAATTATTACTATCTTACCAGTTATTTATTCCTTAAAAGTCATGCTTGAACGGTTAGAATATCACCCGATTTTTTTAACGAATGCACGTAGCCAAAGTTTATGAATCTGATCTCAATTAATGTAAGTCAAGATGAATGCCAGCAGAGTTATTCGAAGCCACTCAGCAGAATCACTGTGTGCCAGAAGCAATATCCGACTTGCTTATGACAATGTGTTCGCGTACTCATATCTGTATTATGAATGTTGCATCTTACTTCATTTTACGTTTCTCAGATCAGTCTGACCACCATATATATCTTGGTCCTTTGTCTTCGCTAAAACGGATGGGGTTTCTCAGTAGAATTTCAGCGTGTGTAAGTGGAGAACATATCTTTTGTTTAAATGAAAAGCGGAGATTCTGGCCAAACAAGAAACTCTGGAATCGAGACTGCTTTAATTCAGTTTGCTGTACTTCATTTGGATTTTTTGCTTGAAATCATCTCCAATAGGAAAGGAAGCGTAACTGCTGTCGACTTTGTGGATGTGAGTAGACAGCGTAGGCTGCATGAATCTACTGTAAAAAATTTCAGTGTTCCTTGATTGTGAACTCTTAATAAGAAGTAATGTCATGGCTTATTCAAACATTTTGAACTCATTTGTATCAGTGTTCGAGTAGATTCCAAAACTTTAAAAATTAGATCAACCATTATGATATGAGTGAAACCGCCTCGTTCACCTCCGCAAACAGCAGTTTGAGTCAAGGTTGCACTAAGGAGCTCAACTACGACAAACGTCGAGGACTATTCACTGAAGGTCTGTTCGAGCTAATGATAGCGCAGACTTAGAAACTAGCATCCACAGTGGCCGGTCTACTCTGCGCCGCTGTGAAAAACTTGACGGAGACAAAAAACTCTGATGGGACTTGCTTGTTCAAACAAACTTCGTCCCTGCTTCGTAGAGCCGTTTGCTCATCTAGACCCCTCTACCGTATTCACTATTTTATAGAAAAAATCTTCAAATCATTTGTATTTGTGTGCTGCGCTTCTGTTCGTGTAGGTCTATGGTCAGCTGTTTTTGACGAACTCTTTGGAGACTAACCCACGTCTCGCACTTGCACAAGGGAGTTTCCCTGTTTCTCCATTTGAACCACGGGTTAGCCAAAAAATATACGTAGAACTGAGATACCGAATCATGAGAATTTCCGAACTGCGTTTTCCTCGAGGATTACCAGAAACCAGAATTAGCGGCATTTTTACTACAATTCTTAAAGATTGCAGCTGAAATCAAGTCAAACTGAACTGATTATAGCCTACTGATGCTGCACCAGTAGCTGAACCAGTTAATCAAGTTTAGTGGAGATGAATTTTGCTCGTTCAGAATGTTTACTTATTTTCGACATCAGGCTCGTATTTTGCAACAAATAAAGCTGATGAATCTGTCAACAAATTATTTTTTTGGTTGGCACAAAACAACAATGCACTTTCTGCACTTGGTTGGCTGAGGAGATCTTCAGCTCTTCACCGCTTATGAATCTCGAAAGTACACGAAAGTCTAGATGGTGTACACAAAATAGCAGTACAGCGGCTGTGTTCGAGCACAAGAGGGTAATCTGGTCTACCTACACTAGTAGCGAAACAAATAAATTTTTTAGGATAAACATAGAGCAAAATATACGTAAATCATATAGACAGAATAACATATTGGTTTCATAAAGGAAACTCTTCGACAGCCCACGACCTGTTTCGACCTTCTTGGGGCTCATCAGGTAGGCGCGGTCCCCGAGTTTCCGTCAACTTTGTGTTCTACTTGAACTCAAATTGGACTGTTTTCGAAAAAAATACACTCATTTGCAAATCAATTTTGTTTTCACGAGAGACTTAACTAAATCTCTCATTTATGATATTCGTTTCACATTAAACATGCTTTCCACATGGTGAGACACGGTGGAACTAACCCCAGCAAAAGATTTTTCAAATCGGTGATCGTGAAAAGTTGCCCACTTCAAAATGTGGCTGCAATTAGGATTCCACTGGTATAGTAAATCGGACTAGACTGATAGAAAAACCCTCACTAGTTGTGGTGAGACTACTTTCAGATTTTTCTGTTTTTATTGCTGTATATATATTTATGTATTACCATACTGATTTAATGTTAGGCGTTTAACTGTTGTGCCCTCTATTTTCATTTTCTGAGGCCAGTAGTCTGAAAGCGCATCGTAAGGAGCGTCTTACGAATTCACGTGAGCTTCAACTCGAAACAAAGTCCTGTCGGTTAAAATTAACGCCAGATACAGTGGCCTGCAAATTAGAACTAAAAGTACCAATTTCGTGCAAGCACATAAACAGATGGAACACGAGAGGTAGAGTTGACATGGTGTTTGAACCACTGGCTAGCTGGTGTAGACAAGTAAACTAATCTTCATCGTGAATGCAGTGGGTGAATCTCATGAGAGCGGGAAATGTACCGGTGTGAAAGTATTGCGGGCAGAGGTGCATAGGAGGGATGGATTGTCAACAGTCCTGTTCAGGTAGTTATGATGGTGTCTTGAAAAATCTCGACTGTGAGCGCTTGTCCGAAAGAATCTGGGTTTGGGCATTACACTGAGAGTTGGATTCGCGGTGGCTCTTTATGTTAGGCAATATAGTAAAAGGTGCTCTTATGATCAGTAAAAAAGTTGGGCAACATGAAACGAGAATGGTAACAAGCCAGGTCAGATAAATCTTTTAAAGGGAATAATCAGCGAATCGAGGGACTGTACTGTATGTAAGGTGACCACGGTTGGATGACAGGTTAATTCTACATATGTTAAAGTTTAACAATAAATCAACTCACAAAAAATGCATTTGGTAATTCTTTTGACTGGGATATTGACACAGAAATCTCGCGGTCAAGTCTCTTTACAATATTTGTGAATCAAACTGGAGGAACAAAAACCATCATGTCAACATTTGAACTCACCGGTTGTTCTCCAATTACAACATCACGAATTACCAAGAATCCCTTGATGGATCGATATCTATCCCCATTCGATAGATGCAAGGTCACTTTCAGTCGGTATTCTACGCTGCCCCGCGTACCAGTGAATGAGCACGGGCAAGTGTCCGGCAAGTGGAACAAAAATGGAAAAGAATGTTCTCCTGGGAAGACAGCTTCGCATGAACCGGGCTTATCTATTCCATAGAAAAAACACGCGACAAACAGGCCTGTGGATTAACTCAGTCGCTTATACTGGAGATTCTATGGCCAATGTGACCCTACTGAGAACTATTATGGCTAAACAATGAGTCAAAAAATTTATTTGCTTGAACGCTTCGAGATCATATAGTTAATCTTGTGCCATTCGGTAGCCGATATGCTGCATGATTCCAAATGTGGAAAAAGCTTTTATGTCTATTTTGTACTGATTCTCACTTTGGACGCTGCTCTAATCATCTCACTTATTTTGTATCAGGCACACAATAATAAAGTAGAACTTTGCTACATCCACGAACTAGCAGACCTAATCTGAAAACGTCGGGAAGAATCAAAGCTCCAGGCATGGGGCATATTGGAAATATACGGAAACCCATGGTGCGTTTATTTCGACGAGGGACTTTAAAATTGGTCATTGCTAATACCACTTGACAGTGACATCTGGCTTCCGGAATTATACAATAAACAAGTGACATTTGATAAACTGTGCTCTAAATATGTCCTGAGAGAAGGAAATTCACAATCACAACTTACTTCCACCGAGGATTGTCGTTATCTGGTAACAGACAATTTCTTCGTTGACAACCCGAAATCTGGAATTGTGATGCTGAATGGAGATCGGGGGATTCCTGCAGAGACCTTCGACTTCCACAGATTTCGGACACTTTGTGTGGTTATATTTGGATGGAAGTCTGACAATGTAACCAGCGTTTTGGTGGGAGAAGAATTTTCGATGAAGTGCCTTGCGTTCGCTTGTCCACCACCAAGGGATCTTCGGTCTGTGAGAACACGGGGCCACGACAACCACCCTACCGAGAAGTTCGACCAAAAGTACTGGAATAAAAGATATACGGAAACCAACGTATTTCAGTATAGTGCACAAGTTTCAGATGACGTTAAGATTGATAATTCATTGCTGAAAGAATGTCGTTGCAAACGATCATACAGTCGTATACCTGCTTGATAGATGCACTTCACGATCAAGACAACTGGGCACAATTACCTCCAGTTTCATTTTGTGACGCTACTGTTCAACGCAACAANTGAATCTATGTTACCGACAACAACTCCCGTAATTTCATTCAGAAGTAGGTGATCGTGACGGAAAGCCTAACAGAGATCTCTCACACAGAACAGCCAGCGCCCTTGCTAAGAAAACATTTTGATGCAAAACGATCCCGGGTGGCAATCTCACATCTGCCACAGGAGTATGAGGACAATAAGCCCTTTCTCCCGGGGGAATCAGCGAAATACGTTTAGATGGATAGTTGAACATGATTGCCGGGAAATGGCCCATATACTTCTCAAGTCCGGGGTTTCGGTACTGCCCAAAAGGCCCATTGGGTATCAGACTGCTTGCCTCCTCAGGCTACGTCAGGGAAAGTGATCTGTACTTTCTAATCGATGGGCCAAGGTAACCACCTCTGGTAGCCACCTTAGTGTAAGACTCGTTGCAATTTTGAGCATGCGCTGAGTAAAGAGTGAATAATGGGTGAGGAAATTCAACGGGTACAAACCTGAATACAGTGGACTCGTTGAGTAATTCTTTAGAGTAGTTGGATGAACGTGTCGAAGGACCAGGCAATGCCTTCAACCCACCCAAAACCCTTGTACCTCACATACACCTAACACTTCTGAAGACATTCGCTTCTTGAAAGGCGCTTTTCCCACTATCCAAAACAAATTCGGACTATCTTGCAACGTAATTTAAACCCGTAGGTTAAAGTTCTAATCCCCTTTTTGAATGGGATTTAAACTACGAGTAGGGAGAAGACCAAACACCTGTGCCTACAGGCTGAATGACTGTACTGAGATTGAAGGGCGTAGTCTTTTTGGCTTACACATTCTGTGGAACTGAAAATATCACCCAAATCTTCAAGAGCTCCACAATCTTACTGCTGTTCGAAGAAGAAACCCGATATAGAATGGAAAACTACAGGGGCATTGTTCCACAACGCACTGGAGAAAATTCCAGTGCTAATCGCAGACAAACGCCTGAACGTTGATATTTAAGATAATATACAGGAAGAGTATTATGACTTCCAAAGCGAAGGAGGCAGTAAGTTTGACCTTGGTTTTTAAGCTTTCTTGCTCCAAGAAACTGCTGTCAATTAGTCCTTTCCTAGACTGAATAAATTGATAACAAATCGATTTTAAACATTCCTTGAAGTCTGAGCCACTTCCGACAAAAGGCCAGCGTTTTTACAATTCTTCATCACAGTGTGAGGTACTCGATGCATGTGAAAGGTACCGCCTTGAAGCGGGATCACACCGTAGCTTCATATTTCTTGAGTCTACACCTGACCACAATTTAAGCAGAAAGGTACCTTCACTTAAAGGTGGCTTACAAATCCAATATCATCTAGATGGTCTTCAACTCCGAACTCAGATCTGAAACGAAGCGCACAAGTCAACGATCCGTGCTGTGTTTCCCGAATGTCGGGGGTGGAATTATGGAAAGCAACAACACCGCGTGTCCTGGAAGCATCTCGGTGTGTTTCAAAGCTAACAAACTCCACTATGGTCGCAGTTTTGAGGTGTTGCATGATAGGCATTTTATCCATAGTCACGCCCCTCTCATTTGAACGGTCGCCCTCCTGTTCTGGCGTAATTATTCCGGTTAGTCCACACCAGTGCTCATTAGCAGTGCATATCCAACGGCCGTGCCGAGATTCGAACCCCGGACATCTGACATGTGAGGCGAGCGTGTTACCACTACTGCACAAACTCACTTTGGACGCATATGAATTTTCACCTCTGAACAGGTGAACGTGTTCACACTTGAGCGATGTGATTGGTGTGCCCGACTCATTGAACCACGACCCAGTCTACCATATTTGTCGTTTACAAATCAATGCGAATTCCACAACAGTGGATACTCTAAGTAAGTCTGGTGTAAAAGATTTCATTGCCTGGGCCAGATTCCGTCCACAGACTTGACAAAAGACACAGTGATACATGCGGGCTCCAACTTATTACTGTCTTACTATTGTCTCCAATTTTTGACAGTGAAACATGGATTATTTGCCAACAGACCATTAGGATGCTTGATAAGTTTAATTTATAGCTCTGGACCATGATAGTTTGAATAAGGTGTTCAGACTGACTTCAAAAGTTCTCAGACGAGTCAAGACCAGCGGTATCAAATTTGCCTTGATGCGCAAACGGATACGTTGTCTAGACTGTGTGAAGCGAATCTTCGGTTATTTCGGCAACCTAGTTAATGTCCGAACCCGGGAACAACAGACATTTTGCCTTCCGAGAGATTTCAATCAAGTTTAAAAGAGCCTAGTCTGGTCCTCATAACTTCGAAAGATCAGGCCGTCTGTACAATCTTGTAAAACTTTGAGGCGTAAAGAACCTCAATGCTAGAACCAGGGCGAATCACCCAAAACGGCTGTAACTGTGAACACAACCACCAGGATTTGTCCAATTTGTGAACGCTGAACTGCATTCACATGTCATCAAAATGTTCACTCCATACCATCATGAAAGTGACATTTAGTCGCTTATGTAGGTCTACATTTACAGCAGCTAATTTTGCTGAGGATTCAGGAAAACCCAATCTAACACTTCTCTCGTATTTGTATCTGACAGTGATGGTTGTCATCCGAATGCAGACATGCAACTTGACTACCACGTTGCCACGTTGCTGTTGCGATGACAAACTATTGTTGTGGCAAATTATCTAGGAAATTACGATATCTTGAATTAACTGGTTGTGAAAAGGAACTTGTAATGTTGCCCGTTTCTATCTCACCTTGTTTAAGCTAACTGATGGTTTTCCAAATGCGTCTGCGTGTTTGCATTCAAGTTTACATCGAAAACAGCCGCATACACGAGCAAACCGCTCGCGATTCACCTATGCTACTCTTGACGAAGAGATCAGCTTCGAAAACGGGGTAGGTATTGAGTAACAGAATAAGTTCAGATATCCACCAGCCCGCCGCTATGAATTGTGGTACCGCATGAAAAACGAGCAATAAATTGACGAGAGGAAAACATAGAAAATACTAACTAGCCTCACTCAAGTGTCTTACTTGAGTGCTTACTTGATTGTCGAGTTTTACTTGGTATTTGACCTGAAAAGTGTATCGTTCTGTGCTGAATACTAGGCCCATTATTCTGCAGGACTATCGTCATCCGTTTTTTCTTGCGCAAGCTTTTAACCTTCATTCTGATTATGATTGTGTCGGCTATTTCTAACGTACGTGTCCGCACTGATTTTGAAGGTTTTGATGCGATTCTACGCACAGATTTATAGACTTTGTTTAGGTTCATCTTGGGACTCGTGTCCGCCAAAAATGGGCACGCATTTGACGGCTCCCGTATCATTTAGTGTAATTGGATCGAGGCAGGGGTCACGGACAAACAAAACGGGCTAACGGGTCCTTCGACCAACATGGAATGACATTTGAAAGAAACTACGGGAAGAGTTGTCATGAATCCGAGTGGTAAGATTTTAAAACCTGTCCCAGACTGTTGTGATGCACCAATTAGCTAGCGATGCAAACTGAAATCGAGCGCTTATTTATTATGCAAGCTGGAGCAAATCTCACTGATTGGTCTTTCATATGAGGCCTCATCAACCAGTTAGCTTACATGAAATAACAGATTATTTGTGCTACATTTGGGACAGTTTGTCAGAACTTTCTGAAGCTGACTTCTTAGATATCAAGATATATTCGATGGATTGTACAGACCCGTTTACCGGTGACGGCAGATTAGATATGGCTATCCACCATACACCTGCTACAGAGGATTTCAACACTCCTATTGTTCTACCTGAGCAGAGGAATTAGGAAACTGGACATCTGCCACAGTCTGTTTGAAGCGGTAGGGAAAATCACCGAGCATGTAGAATGAAGAATGAATGAACGGAGAATGACTTGTGTTAGATAACTGGTCGGCACTAATGACGATAAACAGTATCCGCAGTCGTAAGGGTAAAATACACTCATAAAACTCTTACCTTTTA